ATTATCCAAAAACATTTATAAAATGGTGCCTACGCGGTTGGCCCTGGAGGACCCAAACGGAAGAAACACCGAGGGTGTGGCACGCCGTGAGCATATATATCAAGGATATCTTGGAGGCAACTGAGCATATCGCTGTGGTATTAGGAGTTGGAATTGCACACACACCCAAGCCTACTACACGCAGCAAAGTAATGGATGTAAAATGCCGGCATACTTCCAATGAACACCCTGGGGTGGTGTGTCGTTTTCCATGCCTAAGCTGTCCCTGCAAAAGCATGTTGGCAGCGCGCATAGATGAACACAAGTTGGCTGCATAACGAGGCGAAGATATATCACAAGTTGCAGCTCATACCTATGAAGCAAGCCATAAGTTCGATTTCGCTGCCGTCAAAGTAATCGTTCAAGGCGGAAGCAATACGAGCAGAGAATTGATTGAAGCTTGGTGCAATGACGAAATTCAGTTAACCGATGTATCCAATTTATGCCGGCCTTCATAGCATTTCCCTTGATTTTCGTTGCTGACGCCCTTGTATACCTCTATAATTGCCCCCCCCTCATGCCTTTTTCATGATTGTTTCTTACCTCTTACGAATTGACGACCCCCGACCGTTGATTGGGGTACAAATACTATGTTTAGCCTCCTTTTCGATGCTGTTTACTATCTCTGACGATGGACTCCTATAAAAGTCCGAGAGCTCGGGATAATAAACAAAGTGATCCGGTGCTCAACAATCCTTTATCCTTACCCAGTTACATATGTGCTGGTCCTCTTCAGTTGTTCGAAATCGAGCAAGCAAGTTAGCAGGCCATGCGTGTAAAACGTGTACACTTATTGCCTTTATTCAGACTTCAGGCGCGGTTGTTCTAAACTGCGGTCGAATAACCTGCGTATTCTACTTAGTAAGCATTAATTGTTTTCCCCACATGCTCACTAAAACTCGATTACGAATTTAAGCTACACATATTTTATATCTTATATCCAAGCTGCCTCGCGGTGTAGGCTCGAGGAAGACCTCCTAATGGCAACATAGGGGGACAAGTATGTCCTCTAACAGATCGGTGTACGCGTATCTGCTACTGTTTGTCCCCGGTCTAATACCGTCAAGAGTGTGAGCTCGTAGATCAATGGTTAGGGCGTTCGCCCTGACCTGAGAGATCTCGAGTTCACAACTCGGGCGTGGCAGCAATTTCAGCAGCAACACCGGAGTTGGGTATCACTAGCTGATGATGCCTAATGGGGCAGAAATGGCCATTATAGTGTCCCATGCATTTGTCCGTAATGTCCTTCTGCCTATATCCTAGCCGACTCGCGGTGGAGGTTCGAGTGAGAATTCTAATGGGAACATGGACGGACGAGTGTGTCCTCTACCAGATCGGTGTACGCGTATCTGTTCCAGTATATATACGTTAATATTTTGATATAAAGTAGCTTTGCTTTGCTTTAATTTTTTCTAAGCATTCTTTGCTATTTCAGTTCTTTCTAAGATGATCGCTTTTTTCAGTTCAGTCAGACTAATATGCAGTTTTTTCCTTGTATTTGGTTTGATAAACGGTTTTAGGAAATACAAACACACTCTGCTTACTCAGGAAGATAATTATAAAACGACGCTTGTAGCAAATCAAAGAGCGACGCAGATTTTAATGAAGTGGCAGTTAATTCAACTGAGCGCAACTGTTACTTTTACCATAAAACTAGCATCTTATTTGTCGCTTTTGGATAGAAAAGTATAATATGTTTTTCAAAATAAATATGATTGTAATAAATGGCCTGCTTTTAACACGATGTGGGACATCTCACGGAAAAGGTTTAAGCTTAAAGGCCCTCAACAAAAGATCAAAGATTCTTACCGGATTCTCCGATGATAGTAATCTTTCGGACAACCTTGTGATTCTCAGCTTTACCTTCACATATGTATAAGCTGAAGTCTTCCGGTGATTTGACCGTTACGGTATGGGTGTTTAGCCCCCGCGAAGTGCCGATGTTCTAGCAAAAATGAGAAAAAATCCGCAATATTAAGGTAAGGTAACATGATGCCAGACTGGTTGAAGAGAGTACATGGTGCGAAAGGTCTAAACTATTGTCTAATTTTCACTTAAACAACCGCATGCTTTTCTAATTCAGTCGGCCGATCTTTCGTGAAAGGAATATTTAGGTTATTTGCGCTGAAGTTTATAAAATCTACAATTCAGATGGGTTCAGTTACTTTTATAATATGCTGTTCGTCTTAGCCGTCAGTTGTCGTTTTTTAATTTAACTTAGCCCTCGTTTTCAAATATTTACCAGTATATTGAGTCCAATTGACTAGTTCAGTTCATGAGGTTTGGCATTACATAATAACGGTTTCCTGACGTAGGAAACTCTATGACCATGCTAAAAGAACTCTGTGCGTCTATAATGAGTAAAAAACAGGGTCCTATGAAAACGGTCTGAACCCGTGCCTGTACCGTTTTTAGGGCATGCGGAACAACCACTCTTAGGTTATAGACAACACTTTGACAGTCATGTTATTTTCTTCTAGCAAAAAATATGTACACAACATTTACATATTACGACTCGGTTTTTCAGTTAACAGCGAGAATTCCAATATCATTTAATCGCATGAGTCTGGCATAGTGACGATTATGGCAGATATTTAAGTTGAATTGTGAATACTTTTTAACGCTGTTTTTGAAGTTTGTGACTACTATGTCCCCTTGCATTTTGTCTAGCTAATTGAATAGTTACTACAATTTACCGTAAATTGTCGAATTCTGCAGCATTCGACAAAAAATAATGTTCTTAAATACGTGCTATTTAGCTAACCTAGGCTGCTCAAAAACGTAAATAAATCTGTTTGAAACACCATAATGACTATCTTCCTTTTACGATCAGCTAAGAGGGATTACTGATAATAAGTTATCTATTTACCCTTAATATTAAAAATGACACCTAAAAAATCTTGAATCCGCGTTGCAATATGGTTTATATGCATTTGTCTAAAAGATTATTAACACTTCAAATTTTTTTAAGCACTCTGCTAATTTAATGCTGTTAAGGACCGCCAACAAGGGTATTCATTATTGCCTTTGTGTTCTGAAAACGCGTTCCCGTTAGATTTTACACATTTTGGGAAAAAGAAATCGCAGGGATCAAGAACGGGTGATCAAAACGAGTGTAAAACCGCTGTTGTACCGTTTTCCGCAAAAAAAAACAAAAACGGTGATTGAATTTGAACAGTCTGTGTGGGAAGGCTCGTGGGGTACAATTCGGGACCTCTTTTTTTCAATGCTTCCAGAAATCGCTTCAGCACTCGCACACGGTACTGCTGGTTAACTATGGTGTCATGAAGAACAAATTTTAACGTGAAAAATACATTTGAAATGGTAAAAAAAACGGTATGGACGGGCTGCTTCCCAGATTTTGTCATCGCGAGATCGTCGCGAGCCTTGTTAGTGGATTTAATAGAAATAATCACCTTTAATCTGCGAAGGTCTTGCAAAAACGCGATTTAGTGAACTGAGTGGGAGCAGCAAACGTAAGGGTTGTGTAACAGTTAAAATACTCAGTACTGCCAACCTAATTGCCCACTGAAAATTGATTAACGTTCATCGATAACTAACGGAACTCACTTGCCCTGTTCTGCTTTGAGACTCATTCACGAGCTCCACCAGAAGTCGCATAGTGGCTACTTGTCTAGGCTATTTAGGAAACTCGACATTATCTAGAAAAAAGAGAATGGCCAGTTCTGGCACATTTGCCATCATCAGCTGATCATGCCCAACCAAGGTAGTGCACCACTTGTGGCTCAAACCCGGGACCTTTCAAGCAGACGTCTAACGCTCTAATCAGTGACACACGAGTCCGTTATCTAGATCAGCAGATATTAATGCTCGTAGATTAACGTTCGCTGATCGCTAATGGAACTCACTCATCCCATTGCGCCTTAGGTCTCATTCCTCAATCCCTAAAAACAGCCACATAGCTGCTAGTGGTCTAGGCAACTGATGTCGTCGGCAAAGACAAGGGAGGTTGGAATGGCCATTTCTGGCTCAGTAGCTGTCATCAGTCAGTCGCACACAACATCAGCTGGTAAACTATCAGAGGCTCGATCCCGCAAGCTTTTGGCCAGAAGAATAATGTCAGTGTGCAAAACTCGCGGCCTCGGTGGGAGTCGAGCCCACACGGCAGGATAGGATTTTGCGTAGGCCAAAGCTCCAACACTGAGCTACGAGGCTCACCGTGCGGCGTGAATCTAATCATATTAGGCTCGATTTGCCTGACCAACCTATTGCTCGTATGAAATTTACCAGTAGGCATTCGGTAGGCTGACTGCCAGGGAGGGCTAAAAGCTGTCAAATCCTTAAAGATTATGGTTAGCCTACTTGTCCATACGGTGCATCCAAGATAATTAATTAGGTTCTCCTCGACTTCGCAAATTGGACGCGAAATTAATAGTTTTGGCTGAGTAGGGTGTGTGCGACTTGTCCAGCATCGAGGGTAGAAATACCGGAAACACGGGAGGGTCTGTAGCTATCACTATGGCACCCAGCATCCTCGTTAAAGGACCCCTATGTCAAGGTCATTCATTCGGACTCCTTCCAGACCCACTTGCAGACGCACTGACGGTCTGGTTGGGTGGACGGAAACGGGCGCGCAGACGTGTATTCGGAGGGTCGCAGCCGTCCATTCTCCAGTGGAAAGTGTGCGAACTTAGGGCGACATCTACCAACTTAACCTACCTTCACACATATGTCAGCTCACTTACTATCGCTGTTGCGCTCGATCGCTTTGTCGGACCATCAACAGAAGTCTTCACCTTGCCAGTGCACAATTCTGCCAGGGGCAACATTTATGACTTATGGGCACAATGAGTTAAAGTTGCCCTCAGCTTCTTTTGCTTCCCAAGACTCTCTTTCTGATGGGCTCGACCTTTGTTTATCTGATTTCCCTGATGGGACTTTTTGCAACTTCTTGGATTACTCGGGATCACTCTTGTTCCGATTTGAGTAAACCCCGTGCCCTTGCTTACGCCAATAATACAGTCACGGAGGGGAAACACTCAATACATCTAAGCCTGACAAAAAGCAGGGAACTGATGGATTCCAGTCCATCGTTATTGCTAGCTCATTTGTGAAGTCTAATCAGTAGACCATCTATGCAGAGCTATGTGTGCGTGTGTTGTCAATCATTTATGCTGGCCAGGGATGTGGCCAGCTGAATAGCGACGACCAAAAGGCGAAAAGGACGATGACACCACTGAAATAAAACGGTTTACAGCGCAAATAGAATTCCAGTTCAAGCAAAGCACGACTACAGTCAATGCTTTCACATACTGAACTGAAAGGCCCCGAGAGAGGAATTTGGGTATAGTCACACTACGACTGCTACCCAGGCAACCCACTGGAACATATGAAAGTCACAAATTGCGATATATTCAATTAATCTACCTAAATCGATCAAGGTAACACTGGTAGTCGTTCTAGGGAGCCAATTAACTGTATCAGAACTGGCCGACTGCGTACAATACAGGCCCTTACATTAAGGATTCCCGACGGAATCCGAAACGTCAGGACAATAAACCCCTTGTTCCAGTGATCGCTTCTTCTTCTTCTAAACTGAAAGCTGTCAGCCGGGAGGGGGCTCCTGGCTCAGAGAGTTAGTATTGTACTTGTTACCATGACTGTGTTTTTACACATTTGACCAGTCTTCTAAATATAATTCATTAACTATCCACAACAACTTGACAAACATGCGAAAATGCAGTCATGGAGGCACTGTAATGCAATTCATCTGCTTGCTCCTCTAAATTTTTTTCAATTCCGTTGCTCGACCATCGCAGTACCCCCTCTCACCAAATGGCCGTGGGCCTATCCCATACTTCTCCCTTGTTAGACTCCGTAGTATACCAAAGCCTGTTAAGTGCTTAGCAATCCTCACATAGATGTCATCAACCTCAATGAAAAACTACGCTGCGTTCACTCCCATTCAGATTGTCCGACTATCGATTTTGATGAAGTCCACCATTACTGCACCAACAGGTTGGTGCGGTGA